AGTCAGAACCATCAGGTAAACTCTGGAACGAATGAGACTCAGTGTGTTTTGCGTGGATTTCACTTTGGCTGTTAAGACCCTCTTAGCTCTTCTGTAACCACACTTGTCACAGATCATGGTATCTTTGGTAGTTTGCTCCATGTAGCGAGCACTGTGGGAAAAGCAGTCTCTTCTCGTGTGATAACGACGTCATTTCATAATGTGTCGTTTGATCGAATGATCGTCTTCAATTCGTCGGGCAAAGTGCAAGCCAGTGGTGAATGATTTGTTGAATAATCGCCACGTAAGAGTGACTGATTTCACTTTTAAAGGATTTTTGGTTAAGACATAGGCTCCGTTGGAGGCCACTTTTTCTCATTCGGTATAAGTGCCCTACTTGAATGTTAGAAAGTCCGCTACCTTGGAACTGTCTCTGGACTGCGATGAGCTTGCGCGGGGTGAAGTTCCCTTCCTATATTCCCTTTTAGCCCTTTCCTTTCCGCCCGGATCTTATGTCCATAACGCGTTTGGGTGATTACAGTAATTCGGAAGTCTCTGCTATCTCATTCGCCTAAGGGCTGACAACTGACTCTGGTAAACCTTTCGGCGAGCACTGAGCTCACTGTGCTTGTCAGAAAGACCCTGGTTTGTCATTCAGAGTCCACTTCTTCTACAAAGGGACAAAAGTTCTCAAACTGGAAAGACACCTAAAATGTTTGTTGTGGCTTGATGGGAGAGAGGTACGCTGTGCTTAGAAAAGTCGCTTACTTACTCGTCAAGTTCCTGATTGACAGGGACTGACCTTGATCCTTGTTCAGTGAGGTACGCGAAGCTCTGAGTAGGAGGATACCCCTCTTTTCTGGTGAAGCACTGATTAAATGGGAATATGGGTTTCGATGACTGTATAATGAAGGATTGGGTTGTTTGAGACTGCTATGAATTAATATATATATATATATATATATATATACACACACACACATATATATATATGTATATATAAGTCGGGTTATTTAAAATTCGTTTATGCAGAGGTGGGAAACTAGTTTGAACTCTCGCCATGAGAGTAACAATGTTTTAAGTCAGAACGCAACTGAAACGTTGTACACTGCACGTTTTACCCCGTCCACGTGCGGAAACATCTTCTGTGTGACGAATGAACTGAGTTCGTGTATTACTGAGCTCCGTACTAAGTTGATTAGACCAAGAGACAGAGTTGGGAACTTTTCTTAAGTTTTGCACGCATGAGAAAAGGAGCGGTGATACTGTATCAGCTGAGTCCTAGAAGTCTGGCTCTCAAGTAGGGATCACCGGGGGAATCAGGTATGAAAACTATAGCCCCAAGAGTGGCTTGTTCGTCGAGTGCGGTGATCAATTTGTACACGGCCAGAATTGGATCGCTGCTCAGTTAAAATTCAATCATCATTCAAGCAAAGTCAGTGTGTGGACAAAGTSTRATAGTTAATCTGTCAGCATCCTGGAYGTCAGAAGACATCCARTGAGCGGYAATTGTAACCAATCATATGGCATAGTGACTTGCCGCTTTGGCCTTAGGCAGTGGTCGAGGCAYACCARCTTCGCATATCTCRTTCAGGTTGTGGTTTAAATCACRAAGTAACTRGGGAATCATGAAAGAGGATGAGATTCTRGTAATTAAAAGCAGATCCAACAGASACAAGGGGGAAGGMTGGGAGGAAGAGGCACACAAKGACYTGGAGAAACRCAGAATGATTCARAGAAAGTTTGTTGTTGAGATAGTTGGAGAAAGGAAGTACATTGAATATGTAAYTTACTTCTACGGACTTGATGGGAAACTGCACARCACTCTCTCTCAATTAGAAACGGTCGAGCAAGCGAGGGCAGAGGYTGAGCAGTAAAAAGAAAAAGAGCAGACGGTTTTTGAACGGGGCACTCGGGTTACTGAAACCCTGAGCGGTATTCAGATCAGGGTTCAGACTTGGCACTCGGGGCCATAGTCAGATTAGTGTTTAAACTCAGTATTCGGGACAGTACTCAGAACTGTACTTTGAACGGTTCCCAGGGCGGTACTTGGGATTGCATTCAAAACGGCACTTCTGAGCGGCAATCTCAGCCGCAGCAGTCAACTTGTAACCAAACAGTGGGAAACTCAGAGAAGAGATGGGGGACAGTGATACAGTTAGAGTGGCTTGCTCGTTGCATCAAGCATCAACAAGGGATTGGAGGGAGACAGCAACCGATGACTATAATTGCCAGACTACCGTCATGATGGAGCATGCGCTGACACTCGTAAGACACCATACAAAAATTGAATACACCTACTATGTGTATGACAAAAGCGGAAGATTGTGTGCAACTATCTCATTTGTGGGTTATGTTGAGGGGGCGCGGAGAACCATTTGCAAATACAAGTAAAATGAAATTGCACCAGGCAGGGAGTGAGTAAGATAAGGTTAGGTCAGGTTGGAAACTAGTAGCTACCAGAAATACTGCAAATCTGCAAAACACGAGGATAAATAGCAAACATTAATGACACGGTAATCACCAACAAACCAGCAATTCAGAAAATAATCAGCATTTGACTCAGTAGTCAGTAATCTCAACAGCCGTCAGTTCTACGACAGTAATCAGTTCTCGGTAATCAGTTTCCAGCAGTAATTTCTTGGTAATCAGTTTCCAACAGTAATTTCTTGGCATTCCGTTTCCAGCAGTAATTTTTTGCTAGTCAGTTCTTCAGTATTAATCTTCCAGCAATCAGTCTTCAGCATTAGTCTTCAGAACTTCGTCCTCGGCATTCAGTTGCCGGCATTCAGCTTTCAGCAAACAACTTTCTGTAATCAGTTCAGGTAACCAGCTCTCTAGGGCCATCTGGTTAGCCTGCACTGGCAGGGGTACTCATGAGCACAGTTCAGTCTGCACCGGTCAGTGAGTCAGTGCTGGCCAACCTCAATCGAATCTCATGCAAAGAGGCATTTCACTATCAATATATTAGTGCTGCTGGCTTCAGACAGGGAGATCTGTCTATCTTCATTGTCCAGACCAGTTTTGCTGATGGCATTATCCATGATCTGAGGCCTTACCTGAAGAAGGGCAAGGAGACTCATGAGCACTCATGAGCACTTCGATCCGGTCTGGATCTCAGCCACTGAATACCTTGAGCAGAGGGAGAGAGAGCTCGACGAGAGTGGCGCTACGCCGATCCGCAGCTTCGGGCCGATGCTTTATACAGACTATCCTAGGCCTCCAGTCCCTTCTCTTCTCACTGATGGTACGAGTTGGCTGGATGTGGTTGGTCTGACAAAGAGGTACATCTCCCCAGCAATGATCGACGTTGAGGCGCTGACCAAGCCCACCAAGTATCCTTACCTCAGACGGGGAGTCTTCTCAGTGGACGGGCTGCCTACATTGTGGGAGGAGTTTTGCTCTATGGTTAATACCGTGTTATGTGCCTCGGTTGGTCATGCTCGGAGCTCGCTGGCTACAGGTGGCATTTTGTCACGAAGCCTCAGTCTATGACTGTACGTGGGCGTGGGTCTCGGCACCAGAGAAGATCAGTGAAAAGAGAGATTGAGAGATTCTGACCAGAGGGATGAATGAGGACTCTTGAGAGGTGCTGACCATGCTCATTTATGTGTACTTTCTGAGATTATTATGAGTTCTCATTCTTCCCTCACTCAATTGCCCCTGTCTTTGCTCGAGTCAGTGAGTCTTAATTTCTGCATTATTCTTGTTCGATGATTGTCTTTGCRGATGTTTGTCACAGTTCTCAAAATCAGATCGACATAACTGATGCATGCACAGTACCCCATAATTTTATGATTACTATTTGCATAATTCTCTGYTGTTCCGAATCAAAATAAAAGATTCCTAAGACTGGGACCGACGAAGACCGCAATTGAAGGGCCTCGCTCRAAGCCGGACGCACACAGCAGGAAGGGATTTGCATTATTTAATTTATTTTATTTATTGCAATCACATTGAAAATCCTGCGTGACAGCCTGTTGGCTTTCTGTTCGCCCGAAGTGNAGGAAGGGATTTGCATTATTTAATTTATTTTATTTATTGCAATCACATTGAAAATCCTGCGTGACAGCCTGTTGGCTTTCTGTTCGCCCGAAGTGGCTCGACTGGAAAAATTGCGACAGTGTGTCGGAGACGGCTGTACTATCTCCTGGACGCTATGGCCGGTGTGGGTGACCATCGCGGACCGGTCAGCGACGTTATTGATCGGCTGCTGTACTGGTCCTTGCCAGCCATCCGTGCGGAGTTTGGAGACGAGGTAGCAGAAGTGATTTCTTCTTTGTTGCCATCTCCGGTGTGCGGTCGATATTTCACGTTGCGTTATATGCCAGGCGATTCCGGTGTTGACTACGGTCAGGGGGGTTCGCAGGGTTCAGCGAGAGGAGGGCATGACGGATCACAGAACTCGTTCTCGTCATCGCGTCGCGCATCGCAGTGCAGTGACAGACGGCGTGGCAGACCCCACAGCGCGGGTCGCTGCACACCGACACTTGCCCGACTGCAGACGTGGTGGGATAGTTGGGACGGTGTTGACCAATGCGGTCCTGGGCCCGAAATTGACCGTGCTAGTGTTGAGGAGGCGATGGCGTTGTGGAGTGGACCGACGGCGCCGGATGTTGTGTTTCTGGAGCCGGTCAAGCTTCTTCAATTGCTGGCCATGTTTCATCTATATTGCCCGTGGCAGAAGGGTTCGTGCCGTGTGTCTGTGGAGTCCGTCTCCTATCCTGCGCAGCTCTGTAAGCTGGCGTTGGTAAGCGACAAGAAATGCAAATGGACGTGGCACACGGCACTCGTGACCACGAACGTCTACCAGTCGTGACTGATACAGCAGCTCTTTCATGCGACGTTCACCGCCGCCCTTACGTTGACACTCCTCGACAACTTTTGTGTTTGTTTAGGGATGTGCTCGGTGCACAAACCCACATTCTACAAGTTTATGCGCACAGAATCGGGGGGGCCGGAGGGGTGGAATGCCAAGGTCGTACGGCAGGGCCGTGACTCGGTGTACAAACCGGGGGGGGCGGAGGGGTGGAATGCCAAGGGATGTGCTTGGTGCACAAACCCACATTCTACAAGTTTATTGCGAGCTTGTCATTGACACTGTGATGCCCCGTGGTGAGCCAGTGACATTGCACTGTCATCACGATGGAGTACGAGACTCGACTTGTTGTAGGTGTTCACACTCTCCGTCCGAAGATTGAAGGCAAGGCATCGAATGCGCTTGAGGTGCCAGCCGTCGTGCAACTTTTGCGAGGGCTGATGGACAAGGGGTTGACGATCCGGTGCGTTGTCTCGGATGATTGTGCCACACTGGGACCGAAGTTGCGAGCTATGAACATCGAGTGGCAGAAGGATTGCCACCACAAAATAAAAAATATTCGCAAGCACTTCCACAGTATGATGCAATTGAGGGAAGCGAAGAAAGTGAGCAGCCCGCACGACTGTGTGTCAGAGGCGCAGTTTATGCAGTTCACGAAAAAACGGCTAAAGAAGGTGTTGGAGCAACGTTTTGGACCTGACGTCCTCACACCTGCTAAGAAGCGGATGAAGAAATCGGATTTCGTCGCTGTCGTCATGCGAAAGATGTACCCCTACGGATCGAGGTTGAATGCTCGAGCGTTGGAGACTGATCCGGACGGCTTGACAGAGTATCATGCGCATGAGGTTGGGATGTGGTTCCTCCGCGCTTGCCAGCTGTGCAGGGAGGAGGGCGGAGACGCCAACAGTCTACACCGCGACATCTTGTTGGTCGCCGATCATTGGGCTGGTGATCATTCGGGATGTGTCGACGGTAGGGAGGTTCTGTGCGAGAAGGTCGGTGGGCGTGCACGATTGCCTTTGTATAGCCGCACGGACATGGTCTACGAGCTCGTTCTGCGTATTCTCGACAAACAATGCAGCACTAACATCACGCCGTACTACGTCGAGTTTCGGCACACATCGGCGGTGGAGACTTTTCAGGGCACCATCATTATCTATGCGAAGAATTCGGTGCATTTCGAGAAGTCTTTTTGTGCACGTTTGTCGATCGCAGTGATTCGGTGGAACAGTCACTGTTGGCGCGACCCGGTCGGGTATGTTGCTCGCATTGCTGCGGGCACTTCTATGCGTGCGAGACCAGACTTCCGTCGATACTACGGTCACGAGGCGATCGACTGTTGGGAGGACAGATTGGCGGCGTCAGTGTTCGGTTCGGCTCATGTTTCAGACTGGGCTCGAGAGTTTCTGTGGCAGGAGGTTTGTCCTTATGGAGCCGGGCCATTGCCGCGTAATTTGTTCGTCAACGGTGGGGGCGACCCGGTAGAAGTCGTTGATGATGCTGTCTCAGGTTTCGACCATGAGGCGGTGGGGGAGAACCGTGTTTTCATCATCGATCACGTGGAGGACGATGCGGTGCCTGCATGCGATGATTGGGTCCAGACATCGAGCTCCGAATCAGAGGGTAACGATATAGAGTTGTTCAGCGTTTGACTGGTTGAATGACTTTATCGTTGACCTGACATCGGTCTGGTGATCTGAATTTCATTGAGCATGACGTTATTCACACACATCTCATGGTGTCTTGTTTGTTACACTACATTATGTTATATATATATATATATATATATATATATATATATATATATATACTTTGTCCGTCTCTTTACCTGTATATATATATCTATTTTTGCTCAGTCCGACTTCCAAGACTGATGGCGAGGCTGTATACTACCCCGTAGGGTTACATTTTTAATTTTGTTCGACTGAGGGCTAACCGTGAGACGAAACTGTGAGGAAAATTCGTGATGACCATATCTGTAAATATGGGAAATATAGGTCCAGCAGTAATTCGAATTTCCTATACGTACCCTTGCTGCGAATAGCAGGCCCGGACTACCCCCACGACAGACAGGCTTTAATGGCCTAAGCTGATAGACGGTTCTATAGCCTATAGTCGGGTCCGGTAGAGGCCGAGAGGCCGAAACTGCAACGGTGTTGGTCGGTTAGTCAGTCCGGTATAGGTATGGGTTAGATTAATGTACTCTATTAGTAGAATGAGGGAAATCGATTGAGGAGCAAGGGACTGGAACAACCTTTCTTATGATATTTGTTGGAGTTGGTTCATCATCAGCATCATTTGAATTCTGATCTTGCTGAGTTTCTTTATTGTGATTGTTTGTTGGGAGTCTGTCGGAGAGTGAGAGTCATTGTCTGACCTCCCCCATATGTGCATGGTTGAATTCCGCTGCTTATCCTTGTCTGTGTGCAGTTTTGACTCTGTCACCTCTCCCCCTCTTCTTATGCATGTGTGCGCGTGTTTGAGATTGTCTGTGTGTGAGTGCCGGAAAAAAATCGTCAGACAACGAAGTGATATATATATATATATATATAATTTATTTTATTTTTTTTTTTTCACACATCTGATTGTATCGTATGTCAGTTTTTTGAACTTGAGTGGCGAGAGCGAGGATTAGAATCGTTTTTTTCACACATCTAATGGTACAATGACATACAATTGCAAAAAGAAATAAATGAACTTCAAATGAGAGATCGAGGATTATAAGAAGAAGATGATGATGTACACAAGGGAAACCAAATTTTACATAATGCAATCCCTGCAAGTCACGACAATAGGAAATGTCAGTTTCAAGGTAAACACACAGTCGGACTTACATACGTACTCACACTGAAGGAAAGCATACACTCTCTCTCTCTCTCTCTCTCTCTCTCTCTCTCTCTCTCTCTCTCTCTCTCTCTCTCTCTCTCTCTCTCTCTCTC